ATAAATTTCATAAGATATTCCTATATAAGTCCTCATAATAAGGCATCTGATAACTTTTATGGGACGATTTTATTATTTATTGAGCAAGCTAAATGAAAAAATATTCATCATTTTAAGAAAATTTTCTTAATTGTTATTTTATAATTTATATCACTTAATAACATTGTTTAATATTATTCACGTTAAAATTTGCATATACATTAATATAGTTACACACACCGTAGTAACCTGTTTGGCCAAGCTTGTAAAATCATCTTATTTTAAGAATTGATTTTCTTAAAAGTACTTTTCAAAAACCGTATTTTTGGTGGTAATCAGTTTGTATTTGGATAATTAATTTGAAAAGTACTTTTCAGCAACAACTAGTGTTTGACCAAGATTTTTGTCGCGACCCAAAGTCTCACCACAGGCATCGTGATGGCACTTAGTCTCTAAGACTAAGTAAGCCGATTTTAATTACAATTCAAGCCATTTTTTTTAAACGAAACCAACAGTGAAAATAATTATAACACCTTCCCAAGACTGGTAATACTGAGTCACGAACTCTAACTGAATACATAGAATGATCACGAGGACCAAATATACAATATTGTTTCATTAAAAATTAACAATACAATGAAATGAACAGACTCCAAGGGACTACAACGACCAAGCAGCTCTACCTTGAATCCTTGCGATCACACTCTAACTCTATCCGGGTCCGATACCTCCAATACCTGGCTCTGCACAAAAATGTGCAGAAGTATAGTATGAGTACACCACGGTCGGTACCCAATAAGTATCAAGACTAACCTCAGTGGAGTCGAGACGAGGTACAGTCAAAACACTCACTAGTCTAATAACATGTTCGATATAGTATACAAAATAATACTGAAAAATAACTAGCAATGATAACAACAAAATCAACCGGTGATATAACAACAATGCAACAAGAACATCATAATTATTGCTCAAACGAATAAGGAACACAAGTACAACCAATTAATTAAGTCCTTCAAATATAAATTCTTTTCCTTCAAATATAAATTCTTTCACCTATATGTTTTTCAAATAATAATCTTCAGGATATAATACTTTCCAATAAATATATTTTCAAGTAAAAGTCACCATGTGACATCTCATTTTACAATCATAAAAATTACGGGTCTCAACCCACTTTCATATTTTTCACGGCACCTCGTGCCCATATTTCTATCACCATCACACGGACAACTCATGTATCAATAATAAAATTATCATATTTTTCCCGGCACCTCATGCCCATATTATTTTCATAACTGCACGGACAACTCACGTACCAAAATATCAATATATATAAGATCCACAGGATCAATTTATTTTCAATAAAGTAAGGTTAAAATCTTTAAATCAAGTAAGAAATCAACAAAGGAATGAATTTATTTTAGAAATTATTTGGGTGAAGAAAATAACATTTCAATTAAAATGAAACATCATATAAACTAATGATTTGGATATAAATTTTATTAACTTAAAACTAACTAGAATTTTTCTTTTATTTAAAACAACTCAATCATCAAAAACAAGTACAACCCAAAAATACAAATCCTCAAAGTCTCGTACGAAAAAGTCAAGGCAACACAATACATCAAGAAATACAAAACACTTAATATTTAAGTGAAATAATACATCACAGAAAACACAAGAATTTACAAATTATGGAAAAACAAAATAACCAAAGGCAAGTGTAACCATAGAGAAACATCAACAAAAGGGTACTCCCGAGGTACCGCCTCGTAGTCCCAAATCATAAATAAATTCACAATCTTTCATTTCCTTATATCACCGCAGGAGCCTTCACATTAAATTTTAAAGAAATTATTATTTTTTGGAAATAACATCCCGCTTTTTAGCCAACCTTATCATACTGCATGACTTCTAGTAGTTTCCCTACTAGCCACGCGTTTCAAGCCATCCCTATCTCACCGCATGCGTTTCAATACCCTGACCTTATATCATCACATGACTTCTAGTAGTTCCCCTACTAGCCACGCGTTTCAAGTCACCCTTATTTCACCGCATGCGTATCAATATCACAATATTTCACAAATCGCACCTTAAGTGCCCAAATAACACAGCATAATACAATTTGCACCTCAAGTGCCCAAATCTTACAACATGTCACAAATTGCACATCAAATGCTCAAATATTACAACATATCACAAATTGTACATCAAGTGCTCAAATATTACAACTTGCCACAGAAATCAACAACACATTATTTTTCCACAATAAGGAGCCACGGCTCGATCATAATGTGCACAACATCTTAACAAAATGTTCGGGAGTGAACAACTCAACCGAATAATATTTCACAATTTGGCACTTTGCCTCAAAATGATTTACGGCCTTTATAATTCAATACCAAATTTTCAACAACGTGAACTGAAAAGTAATTCATCTTATTAACTAAAATTTTCAATTACACAATTTCCACATAAGACTCAATACCTAAGGGGTAATTCCCCCATTCGATGTTAGGCAAGATACTTACCTTTTTGAAGTTAGGCCGATATTCCAAAATCGTCTTCTTGCTTGAATTGACCTCCAGACACCTCAAATCTACAAAATAACTTCAATTTAGTAAATACTAATTATAGAAATTAATTCTATATGAAAATACTAATTTTCCAATAAAATCTGAAATTTAACTCAAAAATCGTCTGTGGGGCCCACGTCTCGGAATCTGACGAAACTTACAAAATCCGACAACCCATTCAATTACGAGTCCACCCATACCAAATTTATCAAATTCCGATATCGGATTGACTTTCAAATCTTCATTTTACATTTTTGGAAGATTTTACAAAAATCTAATTTTTCTTCCGTAAATTCACGGATTCATGATGTAAATGAGTATGGAATCATGAAATATAATCAATATAGGATAAAGAACACTAACCCCAATGTTTACTCGTAAAAATCGCCCAAACCGAGCTATTTACGGTATCTTTAAACATCCTAGCGTCAGGGCTAGCTCCCCACGCCTCCCTGGGCGTTGACGACGACAGAAAATTGTTCCTGACACAGAAGTGGGCATAACTTTCTCATATGGTGTCCGAATTCAACGATTCTTTTTGCTATGGCTCCAAAATTTCAATAAGGATCTAATACTTCAATCAAAACTGAATTTAGAGCTCATTTGGTTAGTGTGATACCACGTATTCTTGAAGAATCGATGTCGCAATATCCTAGGTTCGATGCCGAAACATAGCAAATCAAGTCCGATTGACCTCAAATTTTGTACACAAGTCATAATACATCATATGAAGCTATTCAAGACTTCAAATAGTAGAAAGGAGAGTAATAACTCAAATTGACATGTCGGGTCGTTGCATTTTTAAAAACTGCTTCTAAGTGTGTTTTTTTAGAAATATGCTTTTGGAGAGAAACTACTTTATCTGGTTCTCAAAAACTGTTTCTGTTTCTCTTCAAAAATACTTTTTTTCTCCTAAAATAAATTAATTTTTGAAAAAAAATAATTTTGATCAAAAATATACTTTTGGTAAAAAACAATCACTTTTGACCTCAAAAATAATTTGGCGGCTATAAGACTAGTAAAATTTAAATGCATAAACGTATCAGTAAATTAAGCAGTAAAAGTAAAAAAAAAAAAAAAACGGTACAATCTTCTCGCGATCCATCCACCAGAGGATTGAGCAGTAGGTATCAGAAAAGCACACCAACTCTTAGAAGCTAAGGCAGGAAAAAGCATATAATAATGATTTTATGACTTGTTTAAAGGCCTTTCTTACAGAGCCTGGCTTTTTCACAGAGCCTTTAGTTTATGGATTTCCGTATAGTTGTCAGAGACAAGAGCTGTCACAAAGACAGAATAGTTGCAGCAGCATAGCATATACATACAACAGAGAGCCCTCAGTCATTATATTTGCACAGAAGTATACTCTCTAGAGGCTCTGTATCTATTGTGTGTGTCAGTGTGTGTGAATTAGTGAAAGAGAAAAGAAGAGGTAGCAGTAATATATTATGGTCTGAACCATTAGTTTTACCCATGTATAGAAGATTCTGCAACCAAATGGTGTCTAAAAAAAGTAAAATACATTTTAAATGCTCCAAATACACAGATAATTTTTTTTTTAAAAATGATGCCAATTTACATTATCAAATCATGATTTATAAATAATTATATCTAACTGTTCAATATAAAATTACAATTAAAAAAGTAAGACAGGCGAATTATTACTTAAGCTGTCCCAATTTATATAGTGCACTATGACTAGGCAATTAGTTCAAGAAGAGACTTTTTCTAATTTATGTTTTAAAATAAGTTATAGATATTTGTATAGTTATAAATTTTTTTATTAAATATAGTATAAAAAGTTTAAAATTAAATTATTATAAAATATAAAAATATATTATTCTTTTTAATAAACTAAAACAAAAAATATATCACATAAATTAGGACATAATAAATACGATATATTGAAATATATTGCGTAATAAGATAAAAATTCATTGCACTAATATTATATACAAATTAAAAATCTGTTTGACCAAACTTTTTTTTTTGTCAAAATTGCTTTTGGCAAAAAATTAAAATGTTTGGCCAAACTTTTAGAAAGAAAAAGGTGCTTTTGAGAGAAGCAAAAGCAGATTTTGAAAAAAAAAATATTTTTGATGAGAAGCAAAAGCAGATTTTGAAAAGCAAAAAAATGTAGTTTCTCTCCAAAAGTACTTTTCTGATAAACACTTTTGAAAAAAATATACTTAAAAACAGTTTTCAAAAGCTTGACCAAACACTAATTACTGTACAAAAGTATTTTTAAAATTAATTTGTCAAACATAAATCGATTATCACCAAAATAAGTAAATTTTAGAAGCAAACATGTTATAAATCTTTTAGTAAAAGTGATTATCCGTAACAGTGAAAAGTGTGGAGTAAAATTCGAACTCTTTCACCTACTATTTCTACCCCAAAGAGCCCTTTCATTGTTGGATTCTTCTCAAACACTCTCTCTCTAGAGTTGGCTCTTTTTACTTATCAGGATTACCTTGCCTTCTTCCTCTACCGGTTTGTGTGAAGTCTTAGAAGAGTACTTTCTGTAGTGAAAAATGAGTAGAGCAAGAAGTGGATATCCATTTACAGCAACTCAGTGGCAAGAACTTGAGCATCAAGCTCTTATTTACAAGTACATGGCCTCTGGAATGCCTGTCCCTCCTGATCTTCTCTACACCATCCGAAGGAGCTTAGACTCTTCAAACCACCAACCCCAACACAGTACACTACTCTATTCCCCCTTTTCTTTCTCTATTTTATGCATAAATATGTACAAATATTGATATTTTGATGATGTATAGTTTTTTATATTTGAATAGTATTGTATATATTTTCAGTTGGATGGAACTGTTTTCAGTTGGGATTTGGGAAGAAAATAGATCCAGAGCCAGGGAGGTGTAGAAGAACAGATGGGAAGAAATGGAGGTGTTCAAAAGAAGCCTATGCAGATTCCAAGTACTGTGAGAGACACATGCACAGAGGCAGAAACCGTTCAAGAAAGCCTGTGGAAGTTATGACAACAAGAACTACTAATACTAATACTACACCCCCAACAGCAATTACCATTTCATCAATCAAGAAGAACTCAAACAACTATTCTCCATCTACCCCCGCTTCTTTCTCTTATTCATCTGAACCCCAACATTCTTTTCTCTATCCACATTCTTCTTCCTCTAGACCCCCTGGCAATATTGGTTTGTCATCTCAAGACCAGACCAAGTTCCTCTTTGATTCTGGTGCTTATTCCAGGTTTGTATCTTGAATAACATACTCCACTTCTTTCATTTCATTTTATACTGTGGTATTTCACTAGATAGGAGGTTTTAAAAAGTGATTTTTCACACATACTAAAAAATATCTTTACAATTTATGATATTAAACATATCAGTGACATCAATATATATATGATTATAAATAACATTTACTTCCTCCGTTTCCATTTAGATGAGTTAGTTTGACTCAGCACGAAGTTCCGTTTCAATTTGAAACTTGTGGTTTTAAAAACTTTAGGGATAAAAGTTTTGTGAGACCATGACATTTTTATGGTTATAAATGCTTCTCATTAAGGATAAAATGAGCATTTAAAGTTGAATTATTTTCAAATTTAGAAATATGTCATTTATTTTTAATCAGACTAAAACGAAAGGTATCTATCTAATTTGAAAAGGAGGGAGCAGTAAAATGAAACGTTCAAAATTGAAGAACTTCCTAAAAAGTGTTTTTTTAAACAGGTTGAAAAAGAGTCAATAGTATAAAATAAGCCGGAAAGTAATTGTAGAGTGTTGAGTCGCGTCCTACAGAAAAACATTCATTTTTATTGTTGTACCAACTAGATTGGAATTGATATAGCAACTGATTGATTGATTATTGATATTTTTGGGTGTAATATATAGAAGTGCATCTGGTTCTACTTCAATAGATGATAATAGTTGGGAACTGGCACCATTGACAATGGGTTCACCACTTGGCCATTCGAAACAGAGGACTTATTCAGTTTCACAAACTGGTGAGTCTTACTTACAACTGCAAAGCTTCAACGAATCCTCAAGACAACAACAACAAAGACAAGATCAGTACAACTATTATGCACTGGGAAATGATGTCAAGGCTGATCTGCATATGAAAATAGACACAGAAGATCATCAGCAACCCAAGAAAGTAATGCACCACTTCTTTGATGAACTGCCACCTGATCAACACAACAAAGACTCGTGGCTTGATTCCAAAACCCACCTCTCAATTTCAGTACCAGATTCTTCACGTGACTTCTTCATCACCCATAATGGTAAGTATAAATATCTTTTTCACAATAAAGTAGCCTAGCGAAATAAGAATTCTTTTTATTTGCTTGCATTATTTTTTCTTCAGCATTTACATGCTTATGGCAAAAGAATTCTGCTTTGACCATTAAAGTTGCACTTTGTTTTGCAGGGAAATAAATTTTGTGGAGCATAGGCCAAAGTAGTACTTGAATGCTGGTGGGGCGGTGCTTTCCATCTAAGCATTCTGTATGCGTGTGTACTGTGTTCTTAAACTGTTTTTCTTTTTCCTTCTTTTTTGTCCCTGGGACAAGAGCTATGATATGTGATATTGTGATTTCAAATTCTGTGGCGAACAATATTTGGAGTAGAAAAACAGTAAAAAAAAAAAAAAATTTTACTATCCACTAATTTTCAAGTCGTGCACCAATTGGCCCTTGATAATTTCTTGTTTTTATTTTTTATTTTTCTTGTTTATGTAAGAGTGTGGGGCTTGTAGTCAGCATTAGAAGTACGTAGTGTTCTGGCTAACTGAGCAATCACATGTATTTGGCTGTCTGCATTGTATTCTTACACTGTTAGCACTATTTCGTTTTATTGTTTGAATGGCTGAGCCAGGTATCTGGAGTTTTGCCACATGTTGGTACGTTCTATTCATTAGGATGACATATTGAATATTGGCTTTTTTTGGTAGTTGCTTTCAGTGACTACTTTAAGTTATTGCTTACTATTGAATTAATGGACCCAGTTGATATTTTGGATTTTTTATAACCTTTTTGCTATGGTTTTCATAACATAAAGCCTGATTACACCTTTGGCTTCCTTCTTTTTACTCGTGTGCAATCTTTGGAAAGCGTAAGTTATAATATGTGGTCCTCTCTGGATTATATCCTCATGTGAATACTTCTGTTTGATGCACATGCAAATGTTTCTGGGTGGAAAGAATCTCAAATTAAGGTACTTACTATATAAGTTTGTCTAATGGACAAAATGTTATGTTCACCCCTAAGAAAGATTTAACGTTGAAGGAAGCTTTAGCCTTGATCTATTGTTGGGTTCAAACGTACACTCAAGTATACGCGGTCGACAAGTAATAAAGTGATGATAAGAAAGTATCGTTCCCACGAGAATTTATGATCAATTATTTTTCAATCTAAGCTATTTATATATTTAATGCTCAAGTGAGTGTGAAGAAGATAATTGTGATTTTTATACTAAATTACTATAAACTAATAAGCAAGCAAGAAAATAAGATTGCAAGTAAAGCAAACAAACACTTAGGAAGAATTCAATGAGATAAGGATATTACTAGGTTATGGGATTGACGTCTCTCCTATTGCGTTTTTCAGGTTGATGAAATCACTTGACTTGTCTAATTTGTTGATTAGCAGGGTTTATTATGCTCGCGAAGTTCTTTCGATGTTTTGCTCGCCTATTCAAGCCAACATAAGACTATATGTCTATAGAATCAAGCTTGACAAGAATGCATGTATATTTCCTACAAAAATAACCAAGGCAACTAGAATATATCTATCCTAATCACCAATCTATTCTCCGATGCCCAGATTCAAGAACTTACTCTATTCAATCCTATATGCAATCTATAGTTCCCACTTCCGAGTTCAACTATAAATTCGTAGATATTACTCTATTGTTAGCTACCCAATAGAATAATTAAGTGCAAGATTAAATAAATAAATTAATATGATAAATCAAGCAAAACAATCAACCATCAAATTATAATAGTCAAGAACGACCCACAACCCCAGAATAATGAGGTTCTTAGCCACTCATGTTCATAACAATAATAAAAATATCGTTTATAAATATAAAAGCTGTGAATACTAGATGAAGGATGGAAGAATCAATGAATTTCGTGCTCCTGAATGTTTCGTAGTTGTGTTTCTGTCTCAAAGTGACGTTCCCCCCTCCAAAATAGGCTTGGTTTTGCTTTTATACGAGCTTGGGGCGTCTTGGGTCGAAATAACCAAGTCCCGGGCGAAATAGGACAACTTTACGTCACCAACGCCCAGGGTAGTGTGGGGCGCTGGAAATTTTGTGCTTCTGGAAACTGCGCCACAGGTAGCGCCTCACGCTACCTGTGGCGCTACTTTGTGGCTTTTTCTTATTTCTTTCCCTTTTCGCTTCAATACACGCACCTTCATTCCAAATTACCTCCGGATTATTCCTACACATAAAAATACCACTAATTAGAACAAAGCATTATATTACACATCCGAAATCTATGAAACATGAGTAAAATGTGAGGCAATATGCACATAAATATACATACTTTAAGCCGAATATCAATACCCCACACTTAAACTCTTGCTCGCACTCGAGCAATGGAACTATAAACTACACCCCAACAATGTACATCTCTACTAGGGAGAAGCAATTAAATTTTTCAATCATACACTCTACCTTTGACTATAATCTATACAGGCAATCAAGCATGAACATACGAAATTCACATTCTTCCCGTTTTAAGCATGCCCAAGTATACAAAATGCAACTCAACCAATTCAAACAACCTATCTACAACCACCCTACCTCAAGAGCCGACTCATTACCACTAAGCACCCTCAACTCGCACACTCACCCAACAAGAGAAGTTTACAACATTACCAATCATTCATGAGATCATGTTCCCTCACAAACAAACAAGAGAGTGAATATAGAAATAGTCCACACATTCAAATATGATTTTGAACATAAATTAAGGACATCACACAATTGAACAAAAGTCGCTCACTCTCACAAAGAATTTCATGTGCATCCCGTTGTTGTACCATAAGCTTGCCCGTAGTGTACATCTCTACTAATCTAAGCTAGCTAAGTCTAGGATCAATTTGGGCTTTATGGGTTGTAATGTAGGCTAAAGGAATGGGTAGGATACATTTAGGAATAATGACTAACCCTCCTAAGCACTTTAGTACACTACACTCAAGAATTGAACACGTATTCTTCTCAATCAATTGACTCGCCACAAACCATACAAAACATAGTCCTTTCTTCAATTAAACACTTCTATATCCCAACTAGCATGAATTAGTAAGATTAGGAGATGTGTGTTTTTCTTCTTTTTGACTATCAACATTATTTGTCTATTTTTTTCTCTTTTTTTTTTCTACAGAGACTGCATACATTAAGGTTCATCGGCTAGTGATATTTTTCACAACTTTAGTGCACCTTATGGGCCCTTCCATAGTTCTACTCGAAAGCTACTTCCCAAATCTCTCACCTTACTTCTTTTAGCGCCAAAGTGCCTTCGGATGTAAAGGTTCAACAGGCTCAAATTAAGAACAAAATAGGGATACGACTTGTAGTGTGGGTGCCAGAGAAAAGGTCTATAGGCTTAAAGGGGCTAGCAACGAGAAAAATTTATTTTGTAAGTGACAAGCACATCTATGATCAAGCAAGAAACGCTTACGTCATCTCCTAGACTAGTACAACTTAATGATTTCGCTTCGATTAACACATGGGGAAAGTTCTAGACTACACAGTGTAGCACGAGATAACACAAATCATTACGCACATATTGCACATGACTCAATCAAGACGGTTCTGTTCAACTTTCAAGTCAAACAAGCACATATATTTGAAATTTTTTAAAGCAATAATGCACTATGTGACATACAAGTCAAACAACTGAGAAAATAACATCACAAAGTAGGCTATTTATTTCACACAGGCATCACATTTCAAATCAAATATAACAGGAAGACAGAGCGCATGCCATAGCCTAATGTGCCAGCACTAAACATGTCAACAGACATCTCAGAGCAACTCAGTTTTCTTCCTATCCTACTCCAAAAAAACAAAATACCCGGTTCAAGCTACACTCTTGGAAAAGAACCGGCGCCCAAATAAAAACCAAGGGATACTACCTAACTATCCAAAAAATAAATAAATTTTTTTGGTGTTTTTAATCGGACTTTAATCCCTCAAGAAAACTGTTCAAAAGATCTATCGTCGGGAAAAGTACGAGCTTTTTCTGATTTTTTTTCTATTTTTATTTTTTTAAATTCTACTACTCTAAACTAGACTACTTCTAACTATGGGTTCTAAAATAAAACTAATAAAATAAAAAAAATAGTTTTATACAATTACAAGTCAGAAAGTAATTCCCCCGCCCCACACTTATGATATGCATAGTCCTCGATGCATGATCACATAAGAAAATATTAAAACAAGGATGAGAAATACTCCCTGAGACCCTCTAGGTACTAGCTAACACATGATCCTCAATATTAAGAGTCGGGATGACCCCATACTTAATCTCAACATGCTCCTCGGCTTCAAATTCGAGTATTCAAACTTCCCTAATCTGCAAAAATAAAAACAAACAAAACACAACACTATAAAAAATAAAAAAAATAAAAAAATAAAATACATGCTGCATAAGCGTAGCATGAGTACACCACAACGGTACCCAGTAAGTGCCAAGCCTAACCTCGGTAGAGTAGTGACGGGGTCAGGTCAGAGCCCTATTGGAATAAATAAGAAAAACTACACAAGTGTATGGCAGTGTAGTAACGATAGCAATGAAATTGGAACAATAAATAACATATCAAGGTTAGCTACACGGAACAAAAGCAAATAATGCAACACGGAGAAAACAAGGATAGATATGCTTTTGAACAAAACAACCAAAGACGAGTGAAGCAATATAGAAATACCAATAAGAGTCACTACCAAGGTACCACCTCGTAGTCTCAAATTAAAAGTATAATTCACAATCTTTCCTTATATCACCACGGGAGCCTTGCATTTAGTTTTGAAAATTATTTTCCCGAAATAACATCCCGCGTTTTAGCCCACCTTATTACACCGCATGACTTCTAGTAGTTCCCTTACTAGCCACGCATATCAAGCCCACCTTATCTCACCGCATGCGTTTCAACCCCAAAACTTTATACCACCGCATACGTATCAATATCACAACGTATCACAAATCGCACCTCAAGTGCCCAATATCACAACTTGCCAAAGAATCAACAATAACAATGTTTTCACAATAAAGAGCCCATGGATCAACCACAATGTACATAAGAGTCTCAACAATAACAACCATAAGTGAATAACTCAACAGAATAATATTTCACAACTTAACACTTTGCCTCAACGTGAATCACAACCTTTATAACTCAATGCCGGTTTCATCAACAAGATATTCCAAGAAAGACAACTTCAAGTAAATAATTCAAGGTTAAATAATGAATAAGGAATATAGGAAGCAACAACAACTTCAATTAAACATGTAGGGCAATTAACAAATAAGAGATAAGACAAGTAGAGCATATGAAGATAGACTAGAAATGATGACTATAACATGTAAAGGTAACTCAATTAAGGCATGGAAGGAATCTACATAGCTAAAACCGGTAAATTTCAACATTTAGCCCGTGCACACATTCGTCACCTTGCGTACACGGCTTTCACATATCACAGTTATCACAAACAACACCAATCCTAAGGGGTAATTCACCCACACAAAGGTTAGGCAAGACACTTACCTCAAAACACGCTACTCAATCCACTAGTAGGCCTTTCCCTCGATTATCCAACTCTAAACGACTCGAATCTATCCAAAAAAACTTCATACTATAAATATACACTATAGGAAACTATTTCGAACAATAAAATTACAACCTTTGCAAAGAAATAAAAAGTCAACTTAAAAAGGTCAACCTTGGCCCGCATCTCGAAAACTGACCAAAATTATAAAATCCGAACACCCATTCGATAACGAGTCCAA